GAGAAGCAATACTCAGTAGACTGGCACCCTCAGCATGAAAGGTGGGCTGTACAGAGGAAAGGTGCCAGAATGAAACAGACAGAAGCCTTTATTCAGTTTCTGCAGGCCATTTCTCATTATGTCCAGAGTTGTACCATGGGGCTTATTTTTACTTCTAAGATTTCATAAAGAAATGGACTTTCCAGCAACTACCAAGACATGAGAGGGCTCAAGAGTAATAAAAGACCTTTGAAAGAAAGTCATTTGGAATATCAGCCATCAGATATTATGCCAGGGGCAGAGCTTTCTGAAAAAAAAAAAAATCATTTAGGAAGAAGAATAAGAAAAGGTATGAAAGGGTGAGGAAGAGCTACAGAGGGCAAAGGTGGCAGTAAGTGACAGGGGAGGGTCAGCTGCTAAGATGTAGAGTGCTCTTCTACCCCTGCATCTGTAAGCTGGAGGCCACCGTTCAGCAACAGCAGAACAAACACTCTATAAAGAAGGTGCATCATGAGCATGCCCTAAGAGGCCACCTACATGAATATTAGGAACCTGATAGAATTAAAGTTGGAAGGGACTTGTGATCAAGTCAGTTTTATGTCAAAGTTCCTGAGGTAGGAGCCAAAGCTGATTGGCCAATCAAAACCAAAACATGAGGTGAGAAGTGTGACACAGAGAGCTATGATGCATTCAGGAAGGAAAACAATGTCATTGATGAGATTTTGCTTTCAACAAAGGACCAAGAGAGTTGGAAATGCAAGCCCTCAAAAAAGCGAGAGCTGGAAGGATCAGAACAAGTTCCTAGCCAGGCAGAACTAGAAAATGAGATGCTAACGCAAAGAACAAGCCAAACTAAATCAAACATGCAAACAGAAGAGTTGGGAATTAGATATGTATAAGAGTAAAACTTGGCTTGGAGGCACCTGCTGGAATCTTGAAGCATTTGATGTCTGGACCCAGCAGGTATTTATTCTCTGTCCCTGTGACATGCAATTCATCTGACTGTCCACAAATTCAGACATACACACACATACATACAAATACACACACGACTATTTCTTTAATCTTCTACAAAGAATCCCTTAGATGAAACACAATGACAGAAGCCATAGTAGGACTGAGAGTGAATGACACAACTGAGAAGCCAGGGCTTTGTTAATGGTGTACTGGGCAGCTGTTACCTGTGGTACACACGCCTGACCAACATGAAGTCAAGCAGCCTAGAAAAGGAAAAGAAAAAACAGGGTGGGAGTCAGGCCTGCTGGGTTTCATCTCTAGCCCCTGGCTGTCTTGAACCTCAGAAGAAACTGTTTCCAGTATATATCAAAAAGTGCTCTGCGAAAACAAAACTGTCAAATTCTGTTATTTCATGTTGTTTGTACTTAAGGGACAACAAAGAAAGAAAAAGCTGGCCTTCCTGAGGTCAAAGCAAGAGGAGAAGTTTCTCCTTGAGCACTTCAGCTGGTAGAACTCCTCTATACCATGTAGGGTTCTTGGGCCAATCTGGTTGGCATATAATTACAATAAAATAGAAGAGAATGGTTTCTTTAAAATGATCATGAAAATAGACTTTGAAGCTTCATCTATCTCCTTTCCCATATGCCTCAGCCCATTATCTGTATGGTCTCAGGTCATGCTCAGCACCATGAGCTAGGGGAAGAGGCCAGGCTGGGCTCTCCTTACAGGGCACCAGGCTCTCTCAGGCCAAGGCTGGCACCCAGAAGTCCCCGTGTAGAGCAGCTTCTCTGTACACATCCATCTCTGTTCTTCATCCATCTGCACACAGTTCAGATGGGTGGTGACAGCGAGTCAGCCAAGCTTGAACATTGGGAATTCATCACTTTCATTATTGCTATACTTTGGAATGTCTCCCAAGACTCATGCCTTGAAGACTTGGTCAACAGGGTAGCACTGGTGGGGTAGAACTTTTAGGAAGTAGAGCCTTGCAAAAGGAAGTAAGATCATGGAGGCAGTTCCTATAATGGAATATTTGGATGGCCAGCCCCTTCCTCTCTCATGTCGTGGCTCAAGGTGCCAGGGAAGCAGCTTTGCTTCACCATGTGCTTTTGGCCCAAATACTCTGGATAAAACAGCACACAGTAAAGCCTCTGAATCCATGAGCCACAATAAATATCACCTTAAAAGCACCACATAAAAGTCAGGACATAGTAGTGCATGTCTGTAATCCCAGTGCTGGAAAGTGGATACGAGAAGATCCCAGGGGCTTCCTGGTCAACCAGGAGGGCCAATCAGAGTTCCATATTCAGTGAGAGATCCAGTCTCAAAAAAGGTGAAGAGTGATGGAGGAGGACATTCAGTGTCAACCTCTGGCCTCCACAGATACATGCATGGCACACAAAATACATGTGCATGCATATCCATATACTATATACACACATAAAAATAAATCCATATAAAATCTAGAATCCATTTTGGGCCCTGTAAAGTATATATACAAAACAGACAATTCTGCTTTAAAAGATGTAAAATTATGGCACACAACAGTAATTAAAACATTTGTTGTTATATTTCCTCATGTGCTTTTATGACACATTCTTGCTTTTTTATTCTCTTCAAAACTGATTAACAGGAGGTGACTGGAGAGTCAAAACATGAAACCAACAGTCCAAGGAAAACTAGTCAGTCTTTATTGGACAATTTCTTTGTGTCATGGCTTGGGTTGGAGCAAGATGAAATCTTTGATACTGAAGCCCGGTGCTCCTCTCCTGAGGAGGCAGCACTAGGCTTCCCAACAGGTGTTACAGGACCCCATCAGCAGTTCAGCAGTCTCATTAACACACATAATTTCCTGATGGAAAATTTTCCTAAGCCAGTGCTTAATTAAAAAAAAAAAAAGAATCAATCCACTCAACAAAAACAACCAAATTAAATTTAAATGATGGGATAATTTAATCAGAGGATAGACAGACCTTCACCTGAAAAAGCTTGAAATGTTTCAGTCCCTCTTCTATAGTTGTGGGCAGGTTAATGTCTATCTGCCCATCCATCCATCTATCCATCCATCCAAACCCCCCCCCCCCCATCACCTATTCTTCTATCCATTATGTGCCACAAATACTGAAAGGGAGACTTATCCGCATGTATGAGATGATGACAATGTCACACACATACTTGGGAACATTTCCTCATAACAGTTCCACTTGCAGCTCTGGGATAAAGTAAGAAAGAAAATTCTTCCAGGGGCCATTGTTCCCCCCTCCTGTGAACGTTTGCACATTTGTATTGATGCTTATCTGCCTTATCCTCTGTTTGGCTGTCTGTTTAATGGATAAAAGCATATTTAAACAGGACTCTAAATTCGCAACCTCATGTATGGCAGCACTTCCTATGACACTCAATAAATCATTTCCCTGAGGAGAAGTCAATCAATATTCATCATGAAAAGAAGATACAGATGACAATAAACAGTACCTTCTGAATTCAATGTGCAAACCGCGTAAAAATACTCCTAATACTTCTCTCATTAGAACCTGTACCAGTTAGCACCAGATCTACTTTAAGATCCACATATCAGAATTTAAGTGAGGAGTTCCAGAAGACATGTATAAGATAATCTAAAGTCTGAAACCTAGCAAATGCCAAGAAAAACTAAAGAACCTAGGCTGTGTATTTTCAACCATGACCATTGCAAACCTAAGCATCCAACTGCTGCCCAAGTCCTGGAGAGAAACTTCACTACGAAATGAGGGTTTCAGGACACTCCATTCAAATACTCCTCTATGTCTTGTCTATGAATAGAGAAATCCAATGTTAAGCCAGAAGTTCCTATTGCTCCAGAGAACTGCATGGCATGAACTTCATGTGTTGTATCATGCACTGAGTAGCACTGAGGACAGTCATGGAGACAGCTGCGAGCTCTACACTCTTCAAAGGGAGTTGGCCGGGGCACATGTCAGGAGGGATATATCAGAGCCATTCTAACAAGTGTCTTTGTTAATGCAAAAAAAAAAACCCCAAACTCCTCCCACCTTAAGTTAAATGTTTCATGTTTCCTTATGTTCAGTCAGAAAAGTCTGTACTAATTTTACATTAAAGCTTGGATATCACTAGTGTACCACACCTCTTCCAAGTTCTGCTCAAATTTCAGAAGCATCTTCCCCAATAACTTTTTGTCACAACAGCCTTCACCACATACTTTCTGGTCCCCCTCTGGCCATGATGTACATACACAGTGGCTCTGCATTTGTTCACTATTTTATATTCTTCGTGGCGTATTACCACAGAGAGGAAAGGGATTAATGCCACCTTGATGGCAGGCACTGGTCCCTTTCTGGAACCCCAGCACCACAGAACTGACTGTCAACATCAAATACTCAATAAATACCCAATGATTAAAAAAGAACACATAGCCATGCAAAATTCTATAGTCTATACTTAAATTTTTTTATGAACTTTTAGTTTCCTGGTTCTGATACATTTACTGGTTTTGTTTTCTGCCTTTAAAGTAGCTGTGTAAATGAGCTTAACTCTCTCAAGAACTTAAATAGATATGAGTAAACAGAGAGAAAATGGATTATTACATGTGCTGTATTCTAACAGACTGGCAAAGTCTCTACTGAGGACAGAATGAATTGAGCACTGTGACAACTTGATAGAAACAAATTTTCTTTCCAAATATCAATTTCTTCCTCTCCTGTATGGATAGAAAGCAATGATGTTTCTCTGTTAAAAGAAAAGTCCATGGGGAAATACCCCTGGCCATCTTTGGCCATCCCCATACTTCCTACAAGTTTACTTCTCAGTAGGTTCTCATTATGCTCAATTGCATTCTCTGATTCCCAGAAAGGAAATGAAGAGTCTCCTGGGTGCTTCTAAAATATACTAACCTTTCTCCATCACTTCTTGCACAAATAGAGCCACTGAAGACACAATCCCATAATAATCCAAGGAGACTAAACCAATTTCATTTCAAATTCTACCCTAAGAAAGCTGAAGTTGTGAAAGGAGAAAGATGGGTAGTGACTTGAGGAGACAGATACTTCTGAACAGAGGGACCTTACCTGTTTCACAACAGTTACTGTCCCAGGAGCCATGGCAACGACTGAGGCCACAGCAGTGGCATCATGGGTCTCAGAACCCAGCTCAATGATCTGCTGCAGGATGTTCACAGCTGTGGGGTCAAGTCGATCACCTACAGGAAAGAAGCAAGAGGACACCATTAAGCTCTCTGCACTGTATGGCATCCAATGCCAAACTGGCCTGGAGATGCGAAGACTATGGAGTATGCCTATTCCAGAGAGTTCATGAGTTCTCAGAAATGAAATACTCAGACAAGAGAAATAACTTGTTCAGTACTTTATAGCTCACTGAACATTTCCTACAAGAACTTCTCAAGGCTGACTGGAACTAGAAGGAGATGGCATGATGATATGATCACTTGTGCATAAAAAGCAGAGCTCATGCCATTGTGGTGATGGCATCACAAACATGGAACTAAAGCCCAGATGAACTGAATCTTGATGATAGCTATGCAAACTGCTCTTCAGTGTCACAACTGAGTATTAGCAGCTGACACATTCAAGTGCAGAGCTGGTTTTCCCCGAGGGCTCCACTGATGGACACTGACAGCACGCCAAGTGACAGGCAGAACACCCAAGAACGTCTTATTTATCCAGCCTGTGGGCTTCCGCACTACAAACCAATTTTAGCTTGCTTTTGTTTTAATCTTGTGAAAAGAGAGGGGCCCACATCATCAGGGCAACAACTTGGCACACCCTTCCTGCTCTCTCTCACCATCTGCTGCCCATCTGTAATCCTCCTGAACACACCCTCACCCAGATCATTAATTTACTAAAATGGAAATTATTGCTTGGTCTCTGTGCTTCATAATGCCATGAAGTCTTTGCCAATGTTTATACCCTCGTGGGCAGCTTTTGGCAGGCCTTGAGCCAACATGAATCAAACAGTAAGAGACTGGAAAAAGAGAATTTGACATGACCAGTGTAGTAGGTAGAATTGGCCTAAGAACAGGTGACCTACATATGTTCACAATATACCACACAGCATTCCTCCATCCCACAGTACACCTACCTATACTTGGGGGATGATTCAGATGTGCCTTGCAGCTAAACACTCTAAATTCCAAAGATGAAAATGTTTACTTTGGTGAGTCAGTGAGGTTAGATTTTGATTCCTCCTCTACTTCCCTCCTCACTGATCGTTACCCAGCTCAACCATTGGTCGGCCAGGAGCTGTGGTTCTCACTGGGAATACAAGTAAAGTATAATTCCTCCCCGCATCTTTCCTGGGCTGACTGGCTGCTGAGACCCACGTACAAGCATATCAGAATGACACATGGTATTGGAGGGCCTTTAGGAGACAGTATAGAAAAGTCTGGTGGGATCCCAGTAGATGGCACACAATGTAAGTAAGTGCTGAAGGTAGGGCAGAAAAGTGCTGTGAGGGAACCACAGAATGTCCCATAGAGATGAGAGATGCAGCCTATGATTACTGAAGAATCAGGTCCAGACAAGACAGCCTAGAGATAAGAAGCAAGACAAACAGGCAGGCACGGGGTGAACTACAGGTCTGGCCTGTGGAGCTATAAAGGTGAACAGCATCTGAAGCTCCATGGGAAGACACTAGTGGGTAATGTGCTCATGAATTCTCTAAGAAAAGACACTATTGGGTAATGGCCATATGCTCATGGACTCTCCAAGGAAACACACTGATGGGCAAGTAAGCATGTGCTCGTGGATGCTCCAAGGAAAATCACTGGTGGGAAATAGATACACACGAACACTCCAAAAGGAGACACTAATGGGCAAGAGAGTGTGCACTCATGGATCCTCTAAGGAAAGACAAATGGGTAGGCAAATGGGCATATGTATATAGATATTCTTTAAAAAGACACTACTGGGCAGGTAGACACTCCATGGGATGACACTGGCAAGTGAATGGATATGTGCTCATAGCAGATGAAGACATCACTACCACCGAGACAGAAACCCACATTAGGACTTAGTACTGGGGGTTTCGCCTAACAGCTTGGCCTTGATGCTGCAAAAGTGGAGGTGCTATGGTCTCAGTTTCCTCTAACCTGGCAGGCAGCAGCAACTAAATGCTCAGAAACGAATGCCCACCGGAGTTTGGATGGAACTTTCTTAGGACCAGAGACTGAGGATTTCAAATCAGGACTAGAGTAGGTTCCTCCTCTTATTTCCCATTACTGTTTTCACATTAACCTTACTTGCAGGCTCAGTCTCCAACATGTGTATACTCTGGCATACCTAGAGTTTTGGGACAACTGCTTCCAAGTATACTGTCCAGTTTGTTAACTGATTAAAAAAATTAAAATTATCACATTTGATTTAGAAAAATTACCTGGCCTCTTGGGAAGAATGGTAACACATGATTGATCCTGAGCACTCAGGTGTATACTAGTATTCCTGGGGTGACCCAATAGTACATCATGTCCTATCCACTGTTATCACCTGCCTGAACACTCTGGACCCTGAGATGAGCCCCATGGAATGGGTGTTTCCAAGAGGAAGCATGAGGTGGTGGTAGGGACTGCCTTGGCGAATGTCAGGAGAACCAGGCTCCAACTTTGCTACCTGAGTGGAGGATTCTTACCAACTATGTACAGTGGACAACCATTCTTACATCAACTAAGTAAGAATGGCCCCCACCAAGGCTGCTCTGGAAATAAGTGTGATCTACATAGTTGGCACCCTGGCTGGGTTCACTCTGAAGCATTTACCAAGAAATACATCCTGGTTTATTCATATGTAAAGAGCAGCACTGAAGTGAGAAAGGAAGCCAGGTGTGCCCTCACCGTTCTCAGAGGTGTATCTCAGGTCCTGAAGGGCAGCCACAGCTGCTTGTGTCCCCTGAACATCTTCAGCTTCAGTGATGTACAGGTACTGGGTCGAGGGCTCCTCGGGAGTCTCTGTTGCTGGCTAATAAAAACATCATGTCTCAGCATCCTTCCAAAAGATTAAGAGCAGCCCCAAATTCCAGGATGAGATAAACACATACAGGAGAACAGCATTTCACATGTCACTGGCATAGCTCTCCCAAAAAGCCATCTGCTCTGAAAAATGTGTTTCCCAAAGAGAACATTTTCTCAAGGGTCATGACTTTATAACGCCACTTTGAGTAGAAATTCGTTGCTCCCATGATTGTGGTACAAAGTGACGCATGCTGTCCATAACGAACACATTTGAGTACGTATTTCTACAGTTTTCATCTCTTCCCACTGCTAGCAACACTATCTTTAATCTGCTCTTTATACTGAGGCTTCTGGCCATGCAGCTGACAGAGGCAAAGGATCAGCCATGGGAGAAAGTGGAAAAAGAAGAATGCACTGTTACTTAGCATGTAAAGTACAGGTCCTACCATACAGTAAGAGCCCACTGACCCATGGCAACTGACACCCATGAGATTATTCCACAAGGAATGTGGAAGGACTTATTCTGCAGTATCAGTATATATGTGAGGGTAGGAAGGGCTGAAATGAGAGTCAAAAGTCATCTCATATTTTAAAAAGAGAAGCAGAGAAAGTAGCCACAGGATGAATATTAACAAATATCTCTATCTGAGAAGGAACAAAACAAAACACGTAAGGTGGGGACCATGAATCTCACCAATAAAGAACAAAAGGCAGACTGGCTAAAGTTTATATAAGCCACCATTAGGCTCTACCAACATTTGTCAGTAACTAACATGAGTTTCAGGGTAGCATGTAATTGTCCTTTCATAGTCAACTGACAAAATTCAGTTAGCTTATGTCTGTCTTAACATAAAGGAAACACCCAATTAATATCCAATGAATTCAGAAATTAATAAAAAAAAAAAAAGAACATTTAGAGTAGCATTAAGCAGCACACTGGCTGTTCTTGTGTGTCAGCTTGACATAAACTAGAGCTATCAGAGGAAGAAGCCTCAGTTGAGAAAATGCCTCCATGAGATACAGCTGTAAGGCATTTTACCAACTAGTGATCAGTTGGGGAGGGCCCAGCCCTTTGTGGGTGGTGGCATCCTCGGGCTGGTGGTCCTGGCTTCTATAAGAAAGCAGGCTGAGCAAGCCATGAGAAGCAAGCCAGTAAGCAGCATCCCTCCATGGCTTCTTCCTCAGCTTCTGCCTCCAGGTTCCTGCTCTGCTTGAGCTCCTGTCCTAACTTCCTTTGGTGATGAACAGCAATGTGGAAGTGTAAGCTGAATAAACTCTTTCCTCCCCAGCTTGCTTTTTGGTCATGGTGTTTCACAGCAGCAATCAAACCCTAAGACAAGTAGTCACCTACGGACCCAAGCACCTTAGCTGGTGAAAGAGCTGCTCTCCTTCTGGGGATCCCACGTAATAATGGCATTAAGTAAAGCTGGTGCTCTCTGTGAGGCATTCCTATGAGATAAGTGACAACTTAAACTGCCAGGCAGTGGTGCGCTATTCCACTGGGGGCCACCCTGTCCCCATCTTCCTCACTGCTTGTGTATTTTTATGTGTTCTATTTTGTGAGGGTCATAGCCCTGCTAATAGTTCTAGAATCTGCTGGAGATTACTGACTGAAATGGGATGGTTTTCCATCATGAATTGGTATTCCAATGTCTGTTTCCTTAACAGACAACAAATCCTACACCATCTCTGGTGGTGCGATACTGAGGCTGCCATCAGCACCAACAACACAGTACATTCAGCTTTCGAATCAGCCACCCACTGCATGGCTGACAACACTAAGGCTACATACAGTGAGTCAACAAAGGCTCAAGGTCAAATGGCTTATAGAGAGCAGACAGGTCCAAAACCTGTCACTCCAAACCTCACCCTTTGTTAGTCTTAATTGATAAAAAGTTTCAAATACACATAGAAGTAAAGAGAGAGGTATAATAAAGTTCTATATACCTGTCACTCAATCACCTGATTTAAGCAATTATGAACTCATAATCAGGTGTTTCACCTCTGGCCCCACATTGTCTATGCCAGGCTCTTTGATTTGTGTGAGTGTGTGCATGTGTTCCATTTTACATGGGATCCAGGGATCAAACTCAGACCATCAGGCTTATACAGAAAATGAATTACACATTGTGTCATCTTGCTGGGGGGGTCCACCCATGATGGCTTTGAAACAAATCAGAATCATTGTTTCTTCCACAGGTATTTCAAATGAGGTCAGATGTGGAATTTTCCACCTGTGGCCACATTAGTATTCAAAAGCTTTGGGAGTTTACAGCATTGTGGATTTTGAATTTTTGTTTTAATTAGTGATTTTTAACACATAGATGATGATGACAAGTAATAATAATAACAACAGTAAACCACATGAGTTCCAAGTAACTCTTTGACTCTAAGTTGGCACTATGGGCTCCATCTATATTTGGCCTCTGTTTACTGTAACATCTTCCAACAGTGAAAATATAGTTCCATTTATATACAGAACATTTCCACACTTGCTCAGTTATAATATATACAGGAAACAGTTTCAAAGATTAAGCATAGTACTGTGACAAGCACTCTGGCCAGACTGCAACACTTGTCAGCTTTGTCTTGGCCCTAGAGTATCCAGCAACACACTGTTTCCATAGTTACTTGCTTCTGACTTTAGTGAAAGCCCTCTAGTGTTTCCAAAGGAAACAAGACACTGGCTTACAGCCAAGATACATACTCTTGTCATCTTAAGGAGCACCCACTAAGTTCTATTGAACATGTGAAGGTGAACAATGTTTTCTGTCAAAAGGTTTTTGGCATCTTTGAAGGTGATTATTCCATTTCTCCCTCTAGTTCACGGTGAACTATATTAACACACATTCTTTCTATGGAGCCATGCTTTCCTTATGCTCCAAAGTAATCTAACACAGCCATGGTGTCTCGTTATTTTTATGTGCTATGAACTGTTACAAAGACCTTAATCCTGACTGGTTATAACCAGGTACCCTGTAAGTCTACATATCAGGTGGAGGTGACTGTGATGCCAGAGAGTGATGAACCTTAGCAGTGTCTGGAAATAACTGTGATTGTCTCAATGAGGTCTAGAGGGGCAAGGTGATGCTACTGGTACCTGGTATGAAAAGGATAGAACTGTAGCTAAGTTTCCTATAAGTTCCAGAATAGTCCTCCACAACAAAGAATCATGAAGATTCATCAGTACTGTTGAGTCTGAGGAGCCCTGCCCAGAATGACTGCACTCTGTCCATGATTATGGCATCTACTATTTGAAAAGATGGGTGGCTGCTGGCATTCATAAAGACGACAGATTCAGTGGGCAGGACCAAGAGGAAAAGAAGGACCTGGAGTCAGGAAATAGAGCCCTCTCTAATTCTCTCAATGAGGATAGCAACAGACTGTTTGCCTTCCAGTCTGCTGAGTGCAACATCTAAAACAAGATTTGTGAGCTGGAGAAGCCAACACAATAGTCCCAGAAAAGCCCCAATCAACCCAGAATAAGAGTCACCCAGGTGGCTCAGATCTCACTCAGAGGGACCTGGAGCCATGATCTGAAATGGCTGCAGGAGATTTCCAAGGAACACATCCAGGGCTCTCAGGTGCTGACTGTATTCAGCACCTGGGCTCACCTGACTTTGTCACCTGTGTTTCAACATGTCGAGATCACACCACACTTAATGTGTTACCTCCCATTTGGGATCTCCATCAATCTCCACTACCTTCAAGCCATGTTTGTTCTTCAAGTGTCTGTTGAACTCCCACTTGGTGCCGTACACAAAGCTGCAAACAGGACACTTCAGACCACCTGCAAGCACAGACAGGCAAAAAGAAGTGTTTGTAAGCAAGTAAGCATGCTGCTACATGCCCTGTCCAAATGTGTGGGACCTACGCAGTGTATTACATTTTCTCCAGCACACACACTCAAGCGTACCTTAGGATTGTAACACAACAGGGACAATATACCAGCTTTTAGGGTAGAGATTTTGGAACTTAATACACTTTTCTTATATAGGCCTTTGCAGAGAGCCTAATATCTGCTTGATATTTTAAATGCCAGAGAGAACTGAGCAACATAATCCCTTTGGCCAACTGGATTGTGGCTAAAATCAATCTTTCATGTTGTTATCTGTAAATAACATTTTTTAAAAGTCACTGAAGAACAGTGGCTGATTTGTCAATCTCCTTTGCCCCCAAATGCTTAAAATCAGGTGCTTAAACCCCCTGCAAGAGAAGCTAAGTCATGAGTATAAATTCTCCTGTGAGTTTCTCAGTCAAGAATAAATTAAAAAGCTGGTCACATCGTGAAGTGTCACTGTTTACTCTACTGATTAAATTTTGCACATGTTCCAGGAAGTGTTTAGATGCTTTAATTGGGAGACTTTTTCTAACATTACAGCACTAAAGTGAAGACTGGATACTCATCTCTTAGCAGGAGATGCAAGCTCTATCCAGAGCAGGCCAACTGCAGCCCTGGTGTTAGGTGACCAGCTCTCTAGGCTAGAGTTGGGACTCCACCTGGGGCTGGGCCCACAACAGTGGACGGGATGGCCTTACCAAAGTTCTCCTGCTGGAGTTTTTGCAGCCTGCTGACTATGTAGTTCCAAAGGTGAGCTGGTAGACTCACCCTCTTCTGACACGTTTTCCCAATCTCAACCTTATACTGTGTCCTGAGAGCAATGATGCTCAACCTTAACTTCATAAGGAAGGCTTTATCCTCCCAACCTTTTTATTTAGTTTGGTGTTCTGCTTGCCTTGAAAATTCAGTGTTAATTCAATACTGTCTTGCTTGCTCTTGTAATCCGACCTTCTACCATGGCAAGCTGCTTCCCCTCCTAGTCCCATGGCTGCCACTGCAAATGTCCAGATCGGTCATTAAGCCAACAAGGACTATCTTTTTCTCCTATAACAATAGCACTAGCAGGACAGCATTACATACCTACTCACTGAGCATGCATGTCAAACACCTCAACCATAATCTATGCTCACTTCCCAATAGCATGGGCATGATTACTCCATTTTAAACAAAGGTCTGGGACTATGAAGTAGTATTTGCCTTAAGCCAAGGCTGTAACCAGCTTGAATTCGATGCAATAAACAACAATGGTGGCCAGTTTCCATCAAATTCTTCCCAGGCAGTATGATACCTCACTGTCCTCTCAAAGATCTTTCTGACTCAAGACACCTGCACCAGCTTTTTACCTTTATTCTCAATCATGAAGCCTCAAAAATAATCCTTTCCACATCCCTGACATATACATAAAGTGATGTCCAAAGTGAGCCACTTCTCCCACACCTCTGTGAGCTGAGTGAATCATAGAGATTTAGGCAGCCAAGAGATGAACTGATGAGCACATCTCGGTCTGTCATATTCATTTATTTATTTATTGCTCATTCTGAAGAATTGTGTCCTGATATTGAGTCTGTTTGGATAAATTTATGAAGAGCCAGACATTCTTAGGGGAATGCTTCATTCAATTTCAAACTCTTTCTCATGCAGCTACTCCTTCCCTTGAATGAACTCCATGTCAGTGGAATCTGCACAGAGCACTGTCTATTACTGAAGTTTCTTGGCTATTGCACAACTGGAAGCTAATAGTACTTCCCTTCCCACCTTTGGCTCACTGCTCTTCAGTCCTCTCATCTTGGATATGTTTAAAAGCACACAGCAGAGAGGAGAAAAGAGAGACGAAGCCAGGTGACACTAGTCATCACCAAAAAGTCTGGAAATGGGTATCAAATTAAGTTCTTACCTTCAAAATCTCTTTTTATAGATAGTATAAGTATATAGCATATGTATATATATTTACAAACAATTATATAGCATATATATCAAACCTCCAATGGTGGTTTGATTGAGAAATATCCCCTCTATAGACTTGGGTATTTGAATACGTCGTCCCCAGATGGTGGTGTTGTTGGAGGCTACAGAACTTTTCAGATGTGAAGCCTTGCTAGAGGAAGTACATCACTGGGGGTGGCTTTGCAAATGTAAAGTCTTATTTCACTTCTACTTTTTTGTTTCCTGCTTATGGTTGAAGATATGATTTCTCAGCTTCTTGCTCCAGCCACCTGCTGCTATGCCCTCCCCACCATTGTGGACTTTAAAACCAAAAAGCCAGCCAGAATAAACTCTTTCTTCTTTAAGTTTCTCTTGGTTGTGGTATTTTATCACAGCAACAAATAGGTGACTATTACACATTCTTGTTATCATGTACTATCACCTATCTTGGTCTATCATGGTCTTTTCCCATGACCATCTTTGAAAAACTTCCAGTGAGGGCCTCAACCTTTGCTCACAGCTAGACCAACCCTGCTTTTCCTTGAAAGAGTTAAACACAGCAACAACCAACAGCAGAGGTCAAATGGAGGCTTCACAATGAAATTGGAATACTGTTTTAGGGAAACTAATTCAGGGAGAAAAAAAATCCTCATATTATGTTAAAATTGAGCTTAATATGAGCCCAATATTAATTAAAACTTCAACCTTTGCCATAGCAACTTTAATTAAAGAACAACAAACAGAAATATGTAATCTCACCTGAATGTATAACTATGTCAGTTAATTGACATAAAAGCAGAGAAAAATAATTTCTACTTCAATTAATTAACTTCTTAGCATGCACAGTAAACATCAACAGAAGACTTGGAGAGCTGCTCAGTAAAGTTGCAAATGGCCAAACCACAATTTCCTCACTTGGACTGATTAACCAAGAGAAAGGTAGAACATACACACAAGAACAACTTTAAAAGCTGACCATAGAGTCCTAGATCCTTACAGATTGCCATCTATTGGAAAGCTAGAGGATTTCCATGTATTAAAATATTTGCCCTTCTTGGTGATGACTGATATAACAGAAAATTCCATTTCATCTTTAATAGCATCAATTCAGGAATGGCACTGAACATGAGGCAGGTAGATCATGCTTGTGTGAGCCTGACAGACTTCCTTATATGCTTAAGTCTGAGTTTTCTTTTCTACTAAGATGAAGATACCAATTCTCATATCCTCATTGAAGGTACAGCATAGTAGGCAGAATAAAGGGTCCCTCAAATATATGTATATATTACTGCTTGGAACATGTCAACAAATTACCTTGCATGGTAAAAGGACTTTGCACATACTTCAGCTAAGGACTCTGGTGAAGATCATTTTGGATCATGGAGTGCATCTGATATAACCAAAAGAACCTTATAAGAACAAAGGGAAGGGGGTCATCATAATGATGTGATATGAGAAAAACTCCACTGACCATCTTGTCTTTAAAGTTGGGAGAAGGGCCCATAAGCCAAGGCATGGGGTAGCCTCTAGAAGCTGGACAAGATGAGACAGCAGACATTTCCCTAACATCTGTAGACTTATTAACATCTCAACTTAGTTTGGTGAGCCTCACTGTGCAGATCTGATCTTTGTATCTGTATGATAACAAATCTGTAGTTTTCAGTCATTTACTACAGCAGATCTGGGAAGCTAATACAGGAACTCAGGGAGGAAGCAGAGCAGAAGCAGTTTCATTAAGGAACTCAGATACCGAATAGTTTATGAGTAAGTGAAATGTGAACTAGGACTTCTTGCAAACATTCTCATTTTATGTTGAATGGGAAAGTGTTATTCCTAGTGATCTGAGGTACTGTGAGTCACACAGGCCACAAAACTCAGGACTATCTGAATCCTGTGTCAAACGCTAGCTACTCTTCCCATAGGGTCCTTGAGAAAAACTGCATAGGGAAACTACAGCAGAGGAAAACAAGCATATTTTATCATTATCTGAGCTGATACCCTGAACTCTAATGCAGAGTCCTTGGTAAACATAGCTCAAGTAAGATCTGCCCCTCCTCTCCCTGGGACCTGAGACCACTGGAAAAGACTGGACAAAGTGAAAAGATCAGTCCCATAGTTAACCCTGGGCCAACATAGCGACAAGCCTTAGGAATAAAGAGAAAAAAAGAAGCACCTCACATGAGACCTTGCAGGTACAACCTAATCAACATCCCAGTATGAGGACAGGACATGGCCTCATCCTCATCCTCTCTTCTGCTTCACCAACTACTGAATCAGGAGACTGGATTAGCCTGGTTGCTTCTTTATTGCCCTCTGTCAGCTTCTAATTTTTATAAAAAACAGGTGAATGAGTGCACCAACCTTATAGGACTATTGTACAGGAAAAATTAACCCATACAACAACAATAACAACCATAACAATAAATGACATAACATCACACCACTAGAAGCATCTACTGATAACTCATTGGATCTGGCTTTTAGACATGTTAAACATGTACAGAAATTAAATCGATGGCTTTCTTGGGCTACTTAACAGTTACAATTTTCTGCTTGGCTATTTCCTGAGATTAGTATGAATAATACGATATGAATTTGCAAACAAGGCTCCTGTGGATACAGACTTACATTCTTCTAATTCAGTAGTTCAAAAATACCAAAAATTTTATCAGAAGCTAAAAATGAAGCCTTCCTGACATCCTCCTGTCATTTCAACTCCACTCTTTATTATCTATTGTCACTTCAGTGACTCTCTTACTAGGGCTCTGAAGAAGCACTCAGCCACTGTGAGAAGGGGCTGAGGCCCCCCCACTAGGATATTGTTCTCAGATGGAATGGATATATTCTTTAGCCACACCATCAGAACATGAGGTTGATGAAAGGAGCTGCCTAGTCTCACTGCTACTGAACAAAAGAGATAAATGAGTTCCAATTCAGGTAGTAATTCCAATTAGGTGCTACCATACAATCGCCTGGTGTGATACTGAGTTTCAGTGGCTGGCATTAGGCTGACTGCACTGAAGAAGCTCAGGAGACATGTGCATAAGGAAATGTATAGATAAATACAACAGCTTAGGGCATTCACAAGTATTTACCCCACGGTCAGGAAACTCCTTGAAGTATAAGAGAAGAAGATCTAATTTTTGTAACTACTGTTGAAGTAGATGTTGTCCTCCTTTCTGATGATTCTGAATGCAAGTTTAAGTTTAGGAAAGATAATCACCTGGTCCAAAAGCCACACTGTACAGAGAGCCCAGTGCAGATCTGTGTGGCTCCCAACCCTCTGTTCATTCCAGAGAATCTAGAGAAATATGACAGTGTGCTTTGTGGCACTGACAAACTAACTTTTGCTAAGTACCAACTTCATCATAAAACACACCTCTCAGAAGGCAGCTATGACTTCATGAAGCTTTCCACCAAAGCACCTGAGTGGCTTTGATTGCTGACCTAGCCCCTCAGCAAACATTAATCAGGCATGGGGGAAGGGACAGGAGTGGGGGGTCTGCAGAAGCAATCCAAGTACTTTATCCTCAAACAGTACAAAACACACATTTGTAAAGGAGGATGCTTTAAATCCATATTGATGATCAAGTGATGCCTAAGAGAAATCTGCCTTCAAAATGAGATCCACATATTTTATAAGCCAGGAATAAACTGCTTCGTATAGGGCTCAGGAGAAGTCTAATGTCCAAACAGTACCAGAAGAATGATGACACATTTAGGTTTTACTTTCTTCAACAAGCCTCTGGAATGGGTCAGGGAGGTGAGGGTGTGGGGAGGTGGGGAGGGGGGAATGATAAAGACACATGAAAGAAAATGATCAAGCACTGATCTTCAAAGCTAAAATATGAAGCTCAGGTCCTGTCAGGAAATGCCAATTGATTAGAAAGCCTTAGAAAGCTAACAGAAAACCTGAAGCATAGAACAGTTCAAATTCAGCACATTTTTTTTGCAAGAAAGTGATGAAAGTCTAAAAGTAATGATCGCTTCATCAATCAGATCCATGGGCCTGTCCCATAAGCCACATTGAACATCTATTTTCTGTCAATCAAACCTAAGAGTGTGAAAGATGTAAAAACCAAGCCCCAGCCTCCCACTCATTATTTATGATGACTCTAAGTCAATCTACTCTCTCCCATGATTCCTGAACCTGACTGTCATAAAAAGTAATGCAACGGGGACTAGTGGTGCATCTCAGGGGTAAGACGCTTGCCTGTCATGTGAAAAGCCTTGACTTCTATCACAGCACAGAAAAGGAAGACCCCAGCAGTCATTCCGGAAGTTCTAGATATTTTCAGAAAAAGAAAAAAAAAAAAAAAGAAATAGTAAATCTAGGAATGAAATAGTCTTCTGTGCCAGACACCCCTGCACTGTATCCTCTCCACCCTCGTGGCAGATGCTGCTCTGCCGTCGAGGGTCCAGAAAAGATGGGCTGAGTGACAGCACAGTTTAAGAAGAGAGAGGTGGGCACAGGGGTTTCTTCTGAGACTGATACTCCAACCAAGGACCATTCATGGAGCTAACCTAGAACCGCTATACAGATGTAGCCCATGGCAGCCCAGTGTCCAAGTGGGTTCCCTAGTAAGGGGAACAGGGACTGTCTCTGACATGAACTCTGTGGCTGTCTCTTTGGTCACCTCCCCCTGAGGGAGAGTAGCCTTACTAGGCCACAGAGGAAGACAATGTAGCCAATCCTGATGAAATCTGATAGGCTAGGGTCAGAGGGAAGGGGAGGAGAACCTCCTCTAAAAGTCAAATAGGGGAGGGGCATGGGAGAAGAGGGAGGAAGGGTAAGATGGGGAGGGGATGAAGGAAGGGGTTACAGCTGGGATATAAAGTGAATAAACTGTAATTAATAAAAAATAAATAAATTTTACAAAAACAAAAAGGAAGGGAGAGATGTGAGCTGATACTCTTCCTCTTTGCTGCACCATCCTGCTCCTAGCTCCATAAACTTCTGCTAAAGAAAATGACAGGCCCTTGTACTCCAATCCCTTCTGATGGATGGCTCTGAAGTGCTCCTGAGAGTCTTAGCTGCTTATCTATTTCTGTTCTGCTCTGTCATTGGATTCTGCTGGACATAGACAACCCATTGTATTACATGGAAATGCATCTATAGGCAGTTCAGCAAATGACACTTCACAATGAATCAGACAAATAAGTATCGCTAGCTACAAAACAGGCCCAGTTGGTAACCATACAGTTTTCTAAAACCTCCCTCAGTTCCACACAGTCACCAGATAATAAGGAGCAGTGACTAAAGCTACACACTGCAGTCAGTCAATCTTAGCTGAATTACTGGAATGGAGACATAAACACTGCCATAGTGTTCTATGCGGAAACAATATGTGTGTTACGTCCTCTTCGAGAATAATGTGTAGTTATTTTCAATAAAACCCACAAAGAGCACACAGTAGGCAGAAGCAAGTAGATATTTGTGAGTTCAAGGCCAGCCTGGTCTACAAAGTGAGTTCTGGGACAGCCACAGCTAAAACAGAGAAACCCTATCTCAAAAAACAAAAGAAACAAACAAAAACCAGAAAGAAAAACTCTGAAAAAATTTAATATTAATGGAGGCTTTCATTAATTCTCAATAAATGTTTTTTCAGGATGGTTAAGGCACCTATGTACTCAAAATATATTTTTATATAACACACAAAGTTCAACTGTAAGTATATCTAAAGCATCATTTATTACAATTTTATTTCCAATTTTTATTGCAATATATCATTTCCCCCTCCTTATCTCTCCTTCCTACCTGGCCCATGTCTAGATCCCTCTCTGGAGTTCATGGGGGCCTCTTCTTTAAATGAAGAGGAGGCAGAAAGCCTGCAAGAGCTAAAGGACCATGAAGTGTTCTGTAAGAACATATCTTCCAGCTATGACAGAGAAGCTATACCCATGAAATCTCAACAACATGGCTGCGTACAGAAGACCTCAATAATTCCAACACCAGCTGACACCCTAAGATTGATGAGGAAATTCTCACAGGGCCCAGCCCATGGGTAAAGAGCTAAAAGCAATTAACAACTGCTGAGAGAGAAAATTGGTCTTCTATGGAAATGATCCCCTACCTGGCTATCTAATACCAGTGGTCAGCCCTAGAAACATATATATACAAACAACACTGAATGACATTGCAGGTTGTATTTATGCTTACTGTTTTTATATGTAATAATATAATTAATTTAGTAATTATTAAAAAGAGAAAAAGAAAGGCTTGACTTAGAAATTTGTTCCTTTGGCAACAGAACTTTTAAGCCCTTCAATGCAATGCTGTATCACCAAAAATTCTCAGGAGTTATAATTACAAAGACAAAGACAAAGACAATAAAATGTTCCTGTCAATAACACAGGGTGAAGAAAACAAACCCTAAAATTTCTAGAACTCCTCAAACGTTCTGTACAGACAAAGAATGGACGACAGTATTGATGAATACTGTTGTAGGTATCAGTGACACTGGGTAACTTTTTACCACCATCCTTTTGGCTCACCATATTAGCATTGTTAATAGTGACTTGTGCTTTCTGTTGAATAATGAGGATGATTATGACACAGCCATTAAAGAGATAGAGCTAACTGATGCCAAGTCCACAGGTTAGAACAAAGACACTAGAGGCTAGCAAACATTAGTACTTCTCAGCAGGCCTGGGCCCCTCGCTTACCTTGCTGGATGAGAGCTTCGGCTGCAAGCTCCCCGCTACCCACGTTGGCATATTCTTCATTGGGGTGTTTCCTGTTGTAGTGTCGTTTCAGAGATCCAGAGATGTTACATGAATAATGACAGTGGGCACAGCGGAAAGGCTGGGGACACAAGGAACAGGAAATGTGAGCCTCTGCAAATAGGAGAGCCACTTCCACCAGTGTGCCTGTAATGAGCTGGCCCAGCAGACCCTGCCACTAGAGAATGGTTTATCCTCTTTAGGGTCGCTATTCCTGTTTGTAATAAAACAGCATGACCAAAACAACTCAGGGAGGAAAGAAAGTATGGCTTACCTAGCCTACTTTTTAAAACAATTCAGGTCCACCCACATCAATCATTAATCAATAAAATGTTCTACAGGCTTGCCCACAGGCCAATTTGGTGTGGACATTTTCTCAACTGAGATCCCCTCTTCTCAAGTGACTCTAGTTTGTGTCAAGTTGACATAAAAATTAACCAATATATCTGGCCTCTGTACAACACCAAGTGGCCAAGGCAAGGTAGGAATCAGGGTCTCAATCTAACAAGTTTGCTGTCCTTATTGTATGGTTTCCTTTTTTGTCTAAGCCTGTCACTGAAGAAGATAAATAAAAAGCAACACTTGAACCAATCACTATTTTAAGTGGGTGTCATTAAAAGCAGCCCCTGTTACAATCAAACCCTTGATACCCTGTTCCTTCATCTGGACAACTTCCTGGATGACATTTCCTGTCAGCATCTGACACACAGTGCCAGGCTGCCGGGAGGTGTATCTAGCAAAAGCCCCTTGTGGACTGACTTGGGCTGGAGGAGGCACTTACAGAATAAAATCACAGATGTGTCTGTAGCCTTGTCTGGCCTCTTGCATACTGCTTCTGGGGACTCAATGAAAGGAAGGGAAGGGACACCCATCAGGTCTCTTAGGAAGACCCCAGCATCATCCTCCAAATAGTTATATACCTGGATCTCATGGCAGGCTCTGTCTCATACCAAAGTGTCCTACTCTGTCATCATGCCCTGTAGCTCAGACAGAGTGACAGGAATCCCTGTTTGGCATTTGGGCCTATCTAGTGCCGGCGGCCTTCTGGTCCAGATGTAACAGAGGAAGTGTACAGGAGGGCAAAATGGCCTCAGTCTTCTGGATGGTGCAGGGAGATGTTTAGAGGAAGCATGTTTAACCTCACTGATGGAGCTCACCTGCAGTAGAACCTCAGACAAGGAACAAAATGTTTTTGAGCTATTTCCTCATCGGGAAACCTGAGGATAATAGCTACCTTCTTAGTCTATGCTCTGGATGAAAGGGTGGAATGCAGTCTGGCAGCTAAGATGCTCCCTATGGTTTCCATTAAGACTTTTACAAGAATTCTCTTGCACACACAGAAGCTGACACATCACTGTGTCTACTAAGCCCACCTTCACTCCATGACTGACAATTTCATACATCTTTTTATGGCTATTATGCAGAGGCACTAAAGCAGTAACAGCAATGACTGAACATGGACAGCACAGCAGGGTGGATGCCCTCACTGATCTGAAGTTTCCCCAGCCTCTAGCAATGGCTTCTTCCTCTCAGGTATACAAATGTGCCAAAGTCTTCCCACAGAGAGGCAGAGAGGAATGATGATGGGGAAACACAAACACTTAGGCTCTTCCCCTAAGTCTTCTTTCTCCTTACTACATACCTGTCCACTTCTTCAAACCAGTTTCTATCCATGCCTTCCATTTCTTCCTGACCTACATAGAGGGCTCTACAGGCTGCTGGGAAAAGAATTCCCAGGCTTTTCCAACACTATTTTGTCAGACCCTGTGATCCATATCCATCAGATAGTGTCACCTCCCAGGATAAAAGTACACAGCAGCTTTGCCATCTTCTGCTGATGGCCTCTGCTTTAATCTACAAGATCAGTGTTTCAGCTCTGAGAAACTGAGAGGGCTGCCTCTCTAAGGCACTGCCTGTTTTGTCTTTCTGCTCTGGTTTCTATGATCATTTTTATACGTTGATGGCTAGATGTGAACGTTCAGTGTGACCCATCATCCTCTGTCTTTCCTCAGCTATGAATATCTAACTATGTGTAGGTTTTCCCCACAGGGGCATGCTGCAGGCATAACTCAAAGCAATTTCCAATTTGTATCTTCCCACATAACCTGCTGATCAGACACAAAAAAACTGGTGCTCACCAAAGCCACGTTTACTGCTCAACCCCTTCTGTTACCAAGCTCCCAGTATCTGCCCTTCTTTGCCTACCACTGCAGTCCAGAGGAGGAGGCCATTCCAACTATTTTAATTTCGGCATTGGAGACCACAAGCTAGGGCCTCTCACTGTTAGGTAAGTTACTGAACAACATCTCCAGCCAGAATCCTCCAAAGAGAAAGTTGTCATCCCCCAAAAAGGCCATCCTTAAGAGAAAGACAAAGAGAAGCTTCAAAAGTTCCTAGAGAATACCCTACATCAAAAGCATCCTGGGACACAGGATATTTAGTGTTGTTCCATGCAGAGCAGTCAGCAGTCTTTGCAGAACCCTGGTGGTCTGGACACAGGGACCAGAAACAAAGGCAAAACTTATAGGGATTTCTCATCTATCAACTGCACAGGGAACAAAAGGTCCAATAAAGGACTATTACAAAGTTAGAAGTCACATCATGTTCTAATGCTTTCCTCTCTAAATAAGCAAACACTATGAATTTATTTTTTTTTTTTTTGGAGTGCTAGCATTTAAACAAACATCAAGAAAAAAAAACTGAAAATGTTATATTGCCCACATGGGACGGTAAGCGGGCAACAGCAGAGAAAGAGGGAGGCCAATCAAAATAAGAAATGGTCCTACAAACCAAAGTCAGACAGTGGAGCCAAGCCTACATCCTTCATGTGGCAAAGCAGATAAATTGCCACATGAGAATTTCAATGACTTTTAGTTCCTATGCACACTCTTAGGAAGAATTTCTGCTAAGAAAAATGGCAAACAGGTATGCCGAAGGGGAAAAAGTACAGATGAGGCCAAATGAGAGAGCAATCCCCAAGCTACAGATTTTTATCATAATCTCAATTCATGACATTGAAAGGCTTAGGGGAAGACTCTGCCACTGCATCCCACGCAGACTAAGACTAAGGTTGCTGTGATGCAGTGAGCTTGACACTGGGCTGAGCAGATGTCTCCCAAGTGAGCAGTTCTGGGGCTAGAAAGATAATGAATCCCTTCCCTGGGCTTGATTCTGCTCCTTAAATCCTCTCCATCACTCCATGAAATCCTCGGCTGGAGTACTCTGTCCTAAACTACATTCACTAAGCCACACATGAACCTTGCTGGCAAATCAAACTGTAGGTTGAGAAGCCACAGTAGTGTCAGTCTGGGGATTTTGCAGCAGGGCTGTGGTGGTGAGAAGGCACACATACCACTGCTGAGCCACGGCTGGACCTGAAGTCTGGCTTTGTCATCAACACTTCAGGTCTTAGCGTTTCATACCCGAAGCATCTATTTGCTAACCTCCTGCTGTGACTCACACCTGTTCCCTGACCTGGAGATTCCATGATGAATAAGGCAGGCTTGTGGCTGCCTGAATATATATGAACTCCCAAAGATTAAATTCTACCTAGGCAAACTAAATCATAAAACTTGGTCCTTAAGCCTGATACTTACAAACAGCAAATGACACTGAACCTCAAAAGGGAAGTTATTTATTCTGAGCCTCCAAACCAGAGTCCTGCTAAGAGGTAGGAGGACATGTAAGCTCATGGCATCCACATCACTTAGAACAAAGTAAAAAAAAAAAAAAAAAGTTCTGATTGTGGCTCAGAAGAAAGGGAATCAGGAAAAAACAAACAAACAGTAAGCCATCAGTTGCTGCTTCTGTTCAGTCACACTGGAGTTATTAACCAGCTTTCTGAGTCTAACATAACTAAGCTGTTTAATCTAACATTCCTTGAGCTACCATATGGTAGGTCACTGTGCTTTTCATGGACTCATTCCTTTAATTCTCACATTTTTAGATAGATGTAATTATTATTCCCATATCACTGCTAAGGAAACTGAGGCAGCAGCGAGTGATATAGAAACTTGTGTATAGCCTTATTGTCTTCTAGTCTGCACTGATTTGGAGTGCCAGGCAGAGCTAATCACACAGAAATGAGTTAGTTTTTCACTGGCCATGATTTTGGGCATTCTGCCTTCCTTCCAATTCTTCTGGGAAGGATTCAGGCTGGCATTCTCAGATATCCTAGACATGAGCCAGCCCAGAGTTAACCATCAACTAAAGACCATGGTGGACTTAGAAAGACTAAGGCCATTGCTGATTCATCACACACACACACACACACACACACACACACACACACACACACACGCCAACTATTAATATGTGCTCTGTGGGAACACTAACATTAGGCTCTAGGATCTAACATTAGGCATCAGGCAGAAGAATGACAGTCCCAGCAGTAAACAAACTCAGTGTCTTTTCTTGCTGTCTGTGTTAATGCTAGCTGCATCCCCAAAATAATAACTTCAGAATGATGTGGCTTTTTTTAAAAAACTTTTATTAATTACACGTTATTCACTTTGTATCCCCCCATAAACCCTTCTCTCCTCCCCTCCTTTTAACTCTGTCATACTCCTGTATTCGGAATTATAGATTTTTTGTTCACATTTCAAACTATTGCTCTCGAAACTAGATAGAGGACAGACTAAAAGAAACAAGAGTGAAGCAGGAACCAATCATCCTTTGCTGCAGTGGTATAGACAAGGCACATTGAGGGTCAATCTAGAGTGAGTCAGGGAAATAAATATTATTCAAGGAAGCCACCAGTTAAAGAGAGGGAGATGGGAAGTCCGATGGATCCAATGGTTGAGATGATATGTTGGGAAGAAAGGGGCTAAAAACCTTGAGTAAAGGGGTCATCCATGTGTCTAGGTCACATGACAGAAGAGAAGAAATGATATCAGTCTTACAGGGGCAAAACTAGGAAGTCTAGATCACTGGACCAGAGAGGAGTTAGAGCCATAAATATAACACACACCAAAAAAAAAAAAAAAATCTGTGGTATAGATGTATATTTGAGCATGGGCATCTGGCAGATACTCTATGGTTAAATATGGCAGTGTAGGAACTAGCAGTTCTGTACATATTTTA